GTTTTAAAATACAATCATAAGCCCTCTAAATTTCATTTTTCTACCTTCCTTTTAATAAAAAGAAAAAAAAAATCATCAAATGCATTTAACAATGTTTAAATTGGAAGAAGCATTTAATGCTTTTCCAAAAATAGAAAGTCTGATAGGTTTACTTAAGAACATATATAGGTTTAGGTATACTAACTGCGCTTTTTACTTTTCAATTTTTGTAAAAAAAATGTAAAACATGATTTTATTTCTAATATGAATGACATTTATACAATTTTAATTGATTGGGTAATAAAATTGAAATTTATTTTTATTTTTTAATGATAATTAATAAAAAAATGTAATTAATGCAAGCATATAGATTAAAAAATCTCTAACTAAATATTAACACTTTTATATAGTCCTCAAGTTCATTTGACTTGAGACACTTCTACAAGGATAGGTTATCGGAAAAATTAACAAAATTCATTGAAATTTCATGATTACTTTTAATAATTAATAGGGGAAGTTGGGATGTTGGAATGCAATTTTTTTTAGTAATCATTTGCAGGGACAAAATTAAAAAAGAAAATTTTAATAGACTTTTTAAAAGAGAAATTGAGAAGTTAATTGGATCACATCTTTTTGAAAAAGTAATGATTTATGGATAATTTATTTGTATAATTTTGATTTTTAATTTTTATATTTTATTAAATAAATTGATGTATATAATATTATTATTCTTAGTAGAGTGAAAATAATTAATTCTTAAATAATATATAAAATTATAAGAAAAAATTGTATAATAAAAATTTTCCCTTAATCATTTTACTTTTAAAAATTATCACGAGTAAAATGGATCTAAGATAGTGACAATGGCAAGAATTAGAAATAGAGAGAGAGATAGTAAAAATTTTAATAATTATTAATATATCTTTTGGCTTGATACATCTTTTGATATTTGTTTAGTTTAATAATTAAAATATAATATAATTATAATTAATTTAATTAATTTTTATATCTTATATATATAGTTATATTTTTAAATTTTTTTATCTTTAAATTTATATCAAAAAATAATAATTTTTTAAAAAATATTATGCAATATATTAAATTAAATATTATATCAATCACTTCGCAGGGAATTTATACTTTTCCTTCAAACCTCATCATAAATCCTATCGCATTCATAAATTTTTACTTCTATAAGAAGCATGAATGTATCACGTTTATGGCAGCCACACTACGCAAACTGGATAAGGATCCATCACGCAAACTGGATAAGGAACTATCACGCAAACCGGTACCACCCCGCATATTACGCATAGCGGCCAAACTATTAAGCATACCGATTGGAGTGCCTTTATTGTTACTTGGTAAGCAATAACTTTCACTAATTAGACCATTTTTTTTCTCTTCTGCTTTTGCTATGTCATGGTAATTATTTGTAAAATTATAGTGCTTTCTTATCACAGTATTGCCAAAGCAAATATGTGATCTATGCGAGTAGGGTAAGTCTTGAAATAGAAGAAAGTTGTTATATTGTATGAATGTTCTATTTTAGAATTTGAACTACATTGAAGTATAAAATAAGAGTCATTAGATGAGAGATCATCCAATAGTTATGGTTGTACAGTATGATATAATTTAAATTACATTAATACTTTTTTCATATTTTATTATTTAACTTAAAACAAAAAATAAAAAATTATTATTTTGGTAAAATAAAGGGCAAAGATGGGTTACAAATATAATAATATATAAATAATATTAATTATGATAACGGGGAATTAACCATTTTTTTTTAACAAGTAAAAAATAATATTTATTAATAAATAGAGTATAAGGGGTACCTTAAATCTATAAACATCATACTTGAAAGGTATCATATTACATAAGTAGGAAAATCCTTTCATATGGTGTCGATCGCTGAATTATGTGTCAACACCACGTCCGTGATGTGACATTAACATTAATAAAACACAGAAGAACTTTGTTATTAGTAAATAAGCATGCATGGGCCTGTCTTGTCTACAGCGATCGAGGGACAAAATTTAAGGTAAAAGTCTACTTTTAGCCCCTCAACTTATCAAATTTAAAGGTTTTAACCTCTCACTTTACTAGATTTGTAGGTTTTAGCTAATTATCTTATACTATGACACTTTTAACTCATCCCTATTAAAATTGAAAAAAGTAGCCCTTATTTTGTAACATTTTGTTAGTTCTGTTAGTTGACTGTTAATTCTGTTAGTTGATTGTTAATTCTATTAACTGATTGTTAGTTGACTATTAGCTGACAAAAATCTTCTTTTAGCTTGCAAGGTTAACAAAACTAAATTTATAATATTTCGTTAATTCTGTTAACTGATTATTAATTGACTGTTAGTTGACAAAAACCTACTTTTAGCTAATAAAGTTAACAGTCAGTATAAAGTGAGTGCTATTTTCTTTGATTTTAATAGGTGAGGGGTTAAAACTTATAAATTTAATAAAATGAGAGGTTAAAAGTGTCTAGTGTAAGGTAAGAAGCTATAACTTTTAAACTTGGTAAGGGAATGGATTAAAAGTAGGTTGTTGCCCAAAATTTAACATCTAGTTTGATTGAAAAAGATCATAGATGGATCTATAATACTCCCTAATTCGAACAAAATATTAACTTTGCTCTCTTTTTTTTAATAAAAAAAAAAAAGAAAGAAAAACTTGCGTTTGTATATGCTTTGAGGTTATACAAAAATTTATACACAAATAAATATGGTTAAATACCCTTTTTGGTCCCTCTACTATAGGAAAAAGCCATTTTTTGGTCCCTATACCGAAAAAATCCCCTTTTTGGTCCTTACTGTTCACAAATCTGGCCCCTTTTTAATCCCTTCGTTAAATTTTGACTGATGTGACAAGTTAATTAACGGAAAAACTCATTTCGTTTTTTTTATTAAATTACGTGGAAAATCCACATGGCAAAAATTGATGACATGCTAAATTTTTTACTTTTAATTATTGATTTGCCCTCAAAGATTGATGACATGGTAAAATTTTTTCTTTTAATTACTAATTTACCCTCTTCTTTCTTCCCCATCCTCTCCTTCGTCCGACCTTTTCTTTTTTTTCTTTTTCTCTTTTCACCTCTAGGCGATGG